ATCTCTAGAGCCTGTTCAGCTGTACAGGAAAAGATTGGGTACAATTGTGTAAAAAAACAGCTTTACAATGCACACACGTTCAAGTCTGATCAATTTATACGAAAACATTTAAGAAATGACTGCTTTCTATACTCATTTTAACCTTGTAAGACCTGTTTACACCCTTAGTCATCATAAAGCAAAAATAACATAAATAAAAAAATAGCTAAAAGTCCAAAACTCATGGACACAATTAAACCCTGATCACAGATAATACCAAAATGTAATTGCTTACCTTTGTCCACTCCCATTGGTAGTTTCAGCATTTTTTTCCATACACCAAAAAACTGCACCTTCTGGCAGAAGTCTTTCCATCGTCCATTTAGTTCAGCTATGTAGCATGGGTTATCTTTGTTCAGAATGCGTTGAAGCTCATCCATGACCTATTCAATGTTCAATACACCAATTCAGATATTAGAATATTTATCTAGGAGAAGGAAATTGTCTAAACATTGCAAGTTATATCAAGCATTTAAGAATGCAAAGTATTCTTACATGTCCAATGTCCTTGAAACAAGGATATGCTTCTATGATTTTGTTGTGTCTGTCCTCCTCACGAAAACTATGTGAATCAATGAATGCTCTTCTGGCTTGAAATTCCAAATCCAGGAGATGAGACACATCCTGGTGGTTTGGATTCTTTTTTTTATACAACGATTGTAGGGTCCTGTAGTGCTTGGCCGAGATTGCTGGACTGTAGTTGTATGAGCTTTCAACATCTGTTGGCCTGTTAGCTGTAACACATAATGTGGCTCAATTTAACAACAGATTTTTGTCAATTAACGTAATATGACAACCTTTTTTTTAATTAATACAATCCATTTTGTGTAGTTAAATATTCGATAAATTATATTAAAGTCAAATTATTCAAATATGAACAACCCAAAATTGTAATTACTATTACAACACTAAAATACAGTAATGAGAATCTCGTCGTGCTATCATCGTTGCATTGAGGAACACAAGTACCACACCCCCAAAATAAAGTAGGACAAACTCACTCTTAGAACTGGACAGGAGAGGGAGAGCTTCTGGGGGCTTTGGGGTCTTGTTTTTCCTGAAACACATAAAGACATATTTCTGTTGGCATGATGAATCATAATGTTAATATTCAGATTGTGGAAGATAAACAAAACAAAATAAAAACAAGACAAAATAAATACAAAACTAAATTCAACAAACTCCTTGTCAGTAGTGCCTGAGTCGGTGCTGGTAGTCTCATCTGTAGACTGGTCCAGAATGATTGTTGAGTCGCTCGACATGGCTTCATCTGTATCATAGGGCTCATCAAGACGGCGTCTCTTTGAAGAGCTGCAAAGATTAGCCAATTAATCACTTCCAACAAATGCTGGCCAACATATGTTAAAGTCTACTAAAGCTAATGACATATTTATTATTGAGGAAATTAATTGTTGCAGCTTTACCTCTTTGATTGTCTCCCACTCTGAGATTTCTTTAGAGGGGACCTCACATTCTGCAATCTTTTGTTTAGTTGCGCAAACACAGTGACCTTAAGAACACATACATTTCATTTTTTAGATCCTCAATAAAAATGTGCAAAATAAAAAAAACTTTGGTCATTAACTGGATGCATTTCACTTACCCATGAATTCTTCAGACCTTGGTCCTGTAGCATGGGGTAATACAGCACTATCCTTTTAGCCACTGCTGTGATTTCAGGTTTTGATGGGTATCTGTGTGATTCTGCATCTCCTTTTGCCCTCAAGATTGCAATCATACTGGTCATCGTGTTTCGGATGAGACGACATCTGAGTTCCTTTGACATTTCACAGTTGCGCTCTTCCCCTTTCTTCGACAATTCAAAGTACTGTTGTCTTACGTGCTCAAGCTCAGTGTCAGTGTGGAGTACATATTCTGGAAAGGTTAATTTCACAACCTTTTCAGGAGTTTCAAACTTGGGAAGACTGGACTTCATTGGAGTGGATGTCTGTTGCATAGGTGACCTATTATTGGAGGAACAGCTCACTAAAGTTGAATCTTCTTTACCAGAATCCTGTACAGAAACAAACAAACAAAAACAATGCAAAACAAAACATTGTGTTCTGATACTGTTACACTACATTGTCAGAAGTATTAGTCTGTGTACATTAACTTTACTGACAATCATGTTGTTAATACATAGGGTCCACTACTTTGAAAGTTGAAGTCGGGACTGTGTGCAGGTCAGTCAGGTTTGTCTCACCAAATTTTAGATACCTGCACCCAAGGAAGTGATTGTAACACATCCAAATTTACTGATATGGTGGTGTGACCCACTTGGAACTATTTTGTATCCCCAGAGTCAGAACCAAACATTAAGAAGCATCATTAAGTTCTTGCGCTCCACTAATCTGGAACAAACTCCAAAAGAACTTTAAATGCCGAAATGATGATTTTTTTTTATTCAGACAAAAAAAAAAGTTTCTTAGATTTGTCTTTCACTGTTCTATTTAAACGGAAAACAAAAACATCATTAACTGTAGTTATAGTCCAATGTTTCTTTACCTTCTGTTATTACACCACTGCAATTGACTTTTTTCCAATATTTTTTTTTCTTATGATTTGTTCATGTAAAGCACTGTAACTGACTTGTTACTGATATACAAAAACATTTGCAGTGCATAGTTTTGGCAATATACTACATCAACCCAAAGTGCCACAGCCAACTGAAATAGGTTGTTTTTTAAGTCTACGTCACAGAGAAACTGACCTCCTCTGATGCACCATGACAAGCAATCCAGATCGCTTTTCTTCTTAAAAAGTTCTCTGGTCCTGGGAAAAGGTCCCGCAAGTCTTCACGAGACAGGTTGCCCATCATTGCCTCACTGATGTTTGCAGCTGAGAATGTGTTTGAAAACAAAGATGAAACTTGACACATCCAGATTAAGAAGAAAAGACTAAACATAAACTTGGTTTTTCAGTTGTTAAGCTACATGGTTTGAGAAGAAGCTGTAGCAAAGGGCCTTTAGATGGAGGTCTGAGA